ACCCACTTTTCTGTTTGTTGCCTGTCCCCCAGGGAGGAGGTCACATATAGTTCCTTGTAATTGGTTCCCTCTTTCCTACCCACTCTCCCTCTACCCTCCCAGTATCGCTACTCACACTACTGGTCCTGAAGGGGTCATCTGCCCTGGATTCCCTGTGTTTCCAGTTCCTATCTGGACCAGTGTACATCTTCTGGTCTAGCTAGACTTGCAAGGTAGAATTCGTATCATGATAGTGGGGGCGGGGAGGAAGCATTTAGGAACTAGAGGAAAGTTGTATTTTTCATCGTTGCTACATTTTACCCTGACTGGCTTGTCTCCTCCCCGAGACCCCTCTGCAAGGGGATCTCCAGTGGCCTACAAATGGGCTTTGGGTCTCCACTCTGCACTCCCCCATCATTCACTATGGTAAGATTTTTTTGTTCTGATGATGCCTTATACCTGATCCCTTTGACACCTCATGATCACATAGACTGGTGTGCTTCTTCCATGTGGGCTTTGTTGCTTCTGAGCTTGATGGCCACTTGTTTACCTTCAAGCCTTTAAGACCCCAGATGCTACATCTTTTGATAGCCAGGCACCATCAGCTTTCTTCACCACATTTGCTTATTCACCTGCTTTGTCTTCAGTGGTTGTGTCGGGAAGGTGAGCATCACAGAATGCTAATTTAATAGAAGAAAGTATTCTTGCATTGAGGGAGTACTTGAGTGAAGGCCCCATGTCCTTCTACCTTAATACTAAACCTATAAATATATGCACATAGATCTATTTTCCCATCATATATAAATATATTTGGATATTTACATGCCTTTATTTAAACCTCTATAAATGCCCTTTGCTTCCTAGCTCTTTCCTCTATTTTCTTTGACTTTCCTCTTGTCCCACTATCATGCTCAGTCTTCATTTGGGGTTCAGTAATTCCTCTTGGTTACATTACCCTTGATCACGCCCTACCAGGCCTCCTACACCCTCCTCACCATCGATTTGGATCACTTGTTCCCTTGGCCCAGGGTTTGTTAACATCTCTACTTTTCCCCCAGCCTCCCCCTCTCCCATGTCACCGTGGAACTGTCGGTCCCGTTGTTTTCTCCTCCAGATTGTTCATCCAAACTATCTTATTTAGACAGACCTGCAGAGATAATAACATGCACAAAAACAAGACAGAGCAAAACCAAGCAACAATAAACAACAAAATAATGACAAAAAACAAAACAAAACGCAAGAAAAGCTTGTAGTATTCAAGTATTGTTCGTTGGCCTTTAGGAGTGTTTTCCAGTCCATTCTGTTGGGACACCATGCCCTGGCCCCAAAGTCCACCTTCAGCATTCCCTGCGAACCTTGCCGCTCCATTCCCTTGCTGTTTTGTTGCACCCCCTTAGTGTTTTGCTTTGGTGTGGCAGGTGTAAATGAATTTTTACTTTATATTTTTAAACTTTTTAGCTTTGCTTGCACATTGAGTCTTTACCTCAAATTGATTTTTGTGTATTTTCTATCAGGGCCCCATATATTTGTGTGTGTATGTGTGTGTGTGTGTGTGTGTGTGTGTGTGTATGTTTCCCTATTTTATTTCAGTGACATTTATTGAAATATTCTTCTTACACGATTCATATATGAGATGTCGGTCTGACTGTGTTGGCATCTGTTTCTATGCTACCGGTTGGTTGTCTTTAATGTCTTGATAAAGTTTTTAACCATGAAAATCTTGTTAGAAATTTGTTATTATTGTTCTCAGAGATACACCTTTTGTTGGTGTTGTGAATTTTATTTTTTGTTATATAGAAATACAATTGGATTTTAAAAACTGTAATGCTTGTAACTTAGCAACCTTGCTGTACATTGCTATCAATGGCAATCACTTATCTATAGAATTTTGTACTTCAAATTTTTTTTTTTTGCAGGGGGACATTTTCTTTCTTTTAAAAAAAAGCATTTTATTGGGGTCTCGACCAACTCGATCACAATCCATCCATCCATCCATCCATTGTGTCAAGCACATTTGTACATTTGTTGCCCTCATCTTTCTCAAAACATTTGCTTTCTACTTGAGCTCTTGGTATCAGCTCCCCACTTTTTCCCCTCCCTTCCCGCCCCCCTCCCTCACGAACCCTTGATAATTTATAAATTATTATTATTTTGTCATATCTTACACTGTCCGACGTCTCGTGATCCAAAATCAGTGGCAAGGAGGGTGTAAGAGGCCTGGTGGGACATTTTCTCTTTGCCTTTTTCTCTTGGTGTTTCTCAGGATGTTTGTTTGGTTTTCTTAAATAACAGTCATACAACAATAATTAAGGCTGATTCAGCCCTTAGTATATATCAGGTTCTGTTGCAGTGTTTCATATTCATTCTTTATTAAATGATGATTCAAGAATATATACAAGGGGGTACCCCCCCAAAAACGAACATTTTTTTTACAAAACAACTTTAATACCTTCAAAGTACCGTATATACTCATGTATAATCAGAGTTTTCCAGCACATTTTAAATGCAGTTTTTGTGATAAAATTAGGTGCCTCAGCTGATATTTGGGTTAGCTCACACTCGAGTATATATGGTACTCTCCATTACACTTAACACATTTGTCAAATCTGTGATTCTATTTTTCGAAACATTTTTCAAATTCATCTGTTTGGATGGCTGACAGCACCTCCGTTGTTTCCCCCCCCACCCCACCTCTTCTATATAGTCAAATCGCTGTCCTTTCATGTCCCTCTTCATTTGTGGAAACAAAAAAGTTACACGGAGCAAGGTCAGGTGGTTATGGGGCAAGAGGGACATGCTGTTTACACTGAGATGGCTGCATGACCAGGTGCGTTGTCGTGGTGGCAGAACCAGTCCCTTGGCAGCCACAAATCAGGCCTTTCGTCACACACAGTTACACAATCTTTTCAGAATTTCTAAATAGCTTTATTAACAGTCTGACCTGGGTGAATGAACTCCAAATGCACTGTCTTCACATCAAAAAACAAAAATCAAATGAGCATTGTCTTGATCTTTGATTTCATTAGATGAGATTTTTTTTTGGGTGACTTGACGATGGTGTAGCTTGATTGATGCTTGCTTTCAGGGTCGGAAGAGTAGTAGCACCAAGTCTCATCACCAATAATGATCTTGGATAAAACTCTGAGTCTTTGAGCACAAGTGCATGAATTTTGTTGACATTTTCGTCTGTTTGGTAAGTTAAAATCCAGAATGAGGTTTGTCCTCAATTGACATTTCACCTTTTTTGAAATGAGAAAACCACTCATACACTTGAGTTTTTCCTCATAGAACTGTCCTTGTAAGCTGTGTTCAACATCACAACAGTTTCTGTGGCATTTCTCCTGAGCAGGAAACAAAATTTCACAGCCACACACTGTTCTCTTAAATCAGCCATCACAAAAAGCGAGGGTGAGCAAAACTGCTTTAATGAAAAAATTCACTGTGACCACCGAGAACCTTCCCAGGCTGCAGCTCTGGGTGCACCAACTCAGAGCAGGCTGCTTGATGCTCGCCTAGTGGGAAAAAGGCATACTGTGAGAGGTCGCTGTTTTTCTTTTTTGGTGGCGGGGTATACCCCCTTGTATAACTAGATCAGTTATGGATAGCTATTCTGATTTCTTGAGGCAATTGTGAAAGTTAATTATTTTATTTCCCTCAAGTAGGCCTCTGCTATAACTCTTGAGGGTGAGCTTCCTTAACAGCATAAAATGATACACATTTTTCTTTTTTGGTGTCGGGTTATCTTTTCAGACTTTATTATATATTGAGTATATATTGAAAACAGGTAAGAATGACTTAGTCTGAATATATTAGGGACCCTTTTCACTGTGTTTATTGTACCGTATGGGCTCTACAGTATATTTTAGGTTAGTCTTCCCGCAATCCCCTAATGAGATCCGACACCTTCCCTGAAAGAGTGGTACTTACTGCATTTGTTATTTAGAAACTAAAATGTTTCATCCTAATGTGCAGTGAGCTTAGGTATTGACTAGCAGCCGTCCGCCATGGCTTCTTGCCCTCAGCTTAGTCACTGCCTCTGAGCTGGGGGACTTCTGGAAATTTTAACAGAAAATTTTAATCTTAGATCTTTACTGCCTGTTGCTTTTTTTTTTTTTTTTAATGTTTTCAATTCTTGTTTTCTTTCAGTATACTTCTGCTTGTTTTAACGTCCAGGACTTTTCCAGTGTTACATGACAGCTAAGAACTTTTCCTAATCTTTGTATTCTGTCTTTTCTGTGGGATTTCTATGGCAAGAATGTCAGTGCTTGGATTTAGTCTGTAATCTTGAATTACAAGTTATAGGTTTTCAGTATTAGGGAATATTTCAGAATTATTGAATTATAGTGAATTTAAAAGTCAGACAAGGTTTTGTAATTCCAATATTTGAGGGCTGTGCCAATTATTTGAATTATCTCAAGCAAGTTTTTTGTTCTGTTGTTTTTAATTGTTTTCAAGCAAGTTTCTTAATCATTCAAAATATTTTCTTTCTGTAAAATGAATAGTGAGAATATCTAATCTTTTTCACAAGTGTGTTACAGTATTATTTAAGATTAAATGTTTAACAGCACAAAGATAGGCACACGGTAAGTGCTCAATAGGTTCTTTGCTAGCTTATGAGTATTTAGCATAGTTATTTCAAAATCAAACGAAGTAGCTTTTGCTGCAAATCTTGAAGAGAGATTAAGAAACAGATGTTAAGCTACAGACTATGGCATCACAGCTGTCAATACATTCTTTGCTCAAAATGTAGGACTAAGTTATGTATAAATGTTTCTTGGAATATTTTCATGTTAGGGCTGGTTGAATAGTTATATTATTTGTGAAATTAAATCATTTAAATATTGATTATTGGATTCACACAAACCCTTTGAATAGCTTTCATTTTGTTTTTAGCTTTCAAAATATGCTTTAATTTTCTTATATTTAAATTTTAGCTTACTAATTCAGCATATTACCATTTTTTGGAAACAGTATTCATGTTTATACCGGGAAAAATAGCCTGTTTTATTTCTTATTTACAGCAGAATGGCCCAAGACTATGACAGGTCTTCCCAGCACATCTGGGACAACTGCCAGTGTAGTCATCATACGAGGCATGAAGATGTATGTAGCTCATGTGGGTGACTCAGGTGTGGTTCTTGGAGTGCAGGATGACCCAAAGGATGATTTTGTTAGAGCTGTGGAGGTGACACAAGACCACAAGCCAGAACTTCCCAAGGAAAGAGAACGAATCGAAGGACTTGGTGGAAGGTAAACATTTGTTATGTTTTCTTCTCTATTCTAAACATAGTCCCTTTTTGCTTTTCTAACAGGGTGATTTAGTGCTTCATTATAATCAGGTTGCTTTCTCAGTATCACAAGTTTAGTTTGTCTAAGACAATACCATGTGCATTCCTATTTATCTCATAAATAACTCATTATTTCCAATGGACTATTTATATTTCTTATAACGGTTCTAAATGGAATGAACATTTTAGTGGGCCTCAAGTAAAGGTACATACAAGGTCTTACTGAAAACTCTCATGCAAATACTGATCAGCATGGCCTTGTTAAGAATCTGGGTTGAACAGCCCTAATAACTTTTGAGTAGAACAGTTTGAACTTGGCTTTGGTACAAAAGTTAAATTAGAATTAATCTTAAACTTAATCTTTGATTTCAAATCAGATATATTTGTATTGCTGCTTTTTCATTATTTCAACTTAGTATTATTGACTAATTATATGACAGTATGATCTATCTAACGCCTGTCTGGCAGAATCTGATAATGAAGTGTAAGGTGAAAGTAATGCTAGTTGTGATGGTTATGATTATGTGTCAACTTGGCTGGGCACTGATTCTAGTGGTTTAGCAGTTACTTAATGATGTAATTTAGCAGCTGTAATGATTTAGTCATCCTTTTGTGATCTGCGTGGTCATCTTTCATTTTCATTGAATGCTGATCAGACTTTGGAACTTAATCATGTTGAGAAGTGAAGAGAGGATGTATCTCATTGTAGGTAGTTTGAATATTAGAAACAAATTAATTTCCCCATATTTGTCATCTGCATTAAAATTTTTAAGATTATACTAAAAGTCAAGACAATGAATAACATGAGAAATTTAAAAAATTAACCCAAGGCTAATTTTTTAAAAAGCATTTTACTGAGGACTCCTACAACTCTTATCATAATTTGTACACACATCCATTGTCTCTTGCATATTTGTACATATGTTGCCATCATTGTTTTCAAAGCATTTTCTTTCTACTTGATCCCTTGGTATCAACTCCTCATGAACCCTTGATAATTTATAAATTATTATTTTTTCATGTCTTTCACTGTCTGATGTCTCCCTTTACCCCCTTATCTGTTGTCCATCCCCCTGGGAGGGGGTTATAGGTAGGTCATTGTGTTCAGTTCCCCCTTTCTCCCCTCACCTTCACTTTCCCCTTCCCCTCCTGGTATGGCTACTCAATATTGGTCCCGAGGAGTTTATCTGTCCTATAGTCCCTGTGTTTACAGCTCTTATCTGTACCCATCTACATGCTTGGTCTAGCTAGATTTGTAAGGTAGAATTAGGGTCATGATAGTTGGGGGTAGGAAGCATTAAAGAACCAGAGGGAAGCTGTATGTTTCATCGGTGCTTTACTGCACCCTGACTGGCCTGTCTTCTCCCTATGACTGTTCTGTAAGGGGATATCCAGTTGCTTACAGATTGGCTTTGGGCCTCCACTCTGCACTCCTTCGCCCCCCCTCATTCACATGATTTTTTTTTCCATTCACATGATTTTTGTTCTGGGTCATTGATGCTTGATA